CCGAGTTCTTGAGATTTCCAATAAAGTTGTGACATTTCACTCTGTGGTTTGATGTCAATCTTTGAAGACTTAATCAAATTCTGTGATATGGAAATTGGATACCTTGATCGGATATGTCAGAGACAAGGAAGGAATTCTCAAAGCAGTTGATTACTTTGAAGATCCTCTAATCCGGAACACTACATGATAACCGGATGTCTCGCTACAACCCGCTGAAGGCTAAGTCATCCGGATCAGAAGACTAGCGCGGATCTCTTTCTCACCTGGAAGTTTATGAATGACTTTTTCGAATTTGTCTGCAAAGAACCGGATGCCTCAAGAAAGACTGCAATTCTCAGAAGCAGACAAGTGAGAAAAAGACTTAGAAAAATCTAAGTCTTGAATGAAGAAATTCTACCCGTTGGCAGGGAAAAATCAATCTCTTGATTTTCAACGGCTAGATTGAGGATAATTAAGCTGATTAATTGAAGACCTAAACAATCAATCTCTTGAAATTCTACCCGTTGGCAAGGAAAAATCAATCTAAGTCTGGACTTCTCCAATTGAAGAGCTGGCCAAGAATTCCTAAACAAGCACTATAAGACAAACTGAGTAATCCACTCAATAAAGAGCTACAGTCCAGAATTCTTGAACAACAGCTAGAAGACGGATTCTGTGGAAAAAGGAATCCCTCCTCAAACAACTGGGTATGTCCAAACACCCATTCCAATGAGGAATCCTCAATCACAATCTTCATTCAAAATGGAAGCCAGCAAATGCAACGGATAGTCTATTTTGATTCAACGGATAGATTACCCAATCCAGCTATAAATAGCATCCTTGGAAGACTGGAGAAGAACAACAAGAACACAAGCTAAGCAATCTCAAACAACAAAGCTATCACAGTTAGCCAAGAAGCTTGATAAAGAGAGATTTCTAACCTCCTTATCCAGAAGCAAACTTCTCCTCCTTCCAAAGAGCTATAGTGTAAACACTTGAAGGTTTCCTTGCCTCAAGTACCACACCACGTTGAAGGATACAACTTTTAATCAAACTTCTTGATTAAAAAGGGGGTACATCAACTTTCTTACAAGTTGATCTTGCAAGTCCTATTGTTCGGATATTGCAGTTGTTGAAGAAGCTTGACCTTCGAAGGAACAACAAAGCCAGCACGAGTGCAGTAGCAACATTATTGGCCTTGCGAAGATTTACCGTGCAGAAATTCACACAAGTGTAATTGTTGGTTCATTATTCAACAACCAACTACATAGTGGATTTTGAGGACGTAGAAGGATTACCCCACCTTCGAACCTCGTTAAAGTTTGTGTGTCTCTCTCTTTTACCTTTACTTATACTTGCAATTATATTAACTGTGAAAACTAACCCATCCATATTGATTACTGCTCAACTAAACCACCAACTTCCGCACACAATCTAAAGTTCACAAGAACTCTAGATTTACACTCATTTTCACGTTTTCAAAAAGAAACGAAAAAGTTTTTTTTTAAATTTGCAACAAAGTCTATTCACCCCACCTCTAGACTTTGTATATACCCACTTTGGGACCACCATCAAGTATTGAACATCATTGTGGGCACCTCACCGTTGGAAAGAATTTATGGCTAAAACTTTCCATGTTTGGAAGTCAACAGCCAAAAAGCGATGTAGGCCTTTTGGACATCACTGTTGGCTTGACCGTTGCTTCCTGATTTTCAAAAACTAAGCCTAGAACATCGATGTCCAAGCCATGGACAGCGTTGTCTGGCTGATTTTCAGCAGATCCAACTTTAATCAAATCCCACAAATTGTGCCAATCACCCCCATTCAACCCCTACCCGATGGAGCCTATTTTCTACTATAAAATGGGGTGTTTGGGTCTGCTTTACACATCACATTACTTCACAACTCTTATTTTTCATTGCATTACATTCATACATTATTCATAGCTTTTCGAGAGCCATTTTTGTGGAGTTCGTGTTGTGTTCTTGAGCGTTTTTAGTTACTCATTATCCACTCTAAAAGAGAGTTTTGTTCTTGAGTGATTTAGTGTTTTTAGACACTTGATAAGAGAAAGTTTTTCTCTTGAGTAGTTCGAAGGAAGGGTTGTTTCCTTCGAAGGGTTGTTGAGGTTCGTGTGACTCGAACTCTCAAGTTGTACGGGTTTGTTATGCACCATTAAGCTTAACGTTGATAATGTAGCTCGAGAGAGTCTCTCGGGAGGCTGGACTAGCCACACGTTGTAGTGAACCAGGGTAAAAATGGTGTGCCTCTTCTTTGCTCTTTACTTTACGCTTTTAATTTTTTATTCCTGCGTCATTTTCGTTTCAAACGCTATTCACCCCCCTCTAGCATTGGGACATTTTTCTAACATCTTTCTTACTTATCGATTGAGAGTTCCGGTTTATAAGATTGAGAGATCCGGCTCTTAATTCTGACAATTCCGGATAAGTGATACTGAGACTTGCGAAGTGTAGATTTCCGGAATAGAGAATCACGCTAGCTTTCCTACTTTACACAGATGGCTATATGACTTGAGTCTTCCAAACTTTAGAATTCTGAAGCGGTTAACTTCTTTGAGAATTCCATTCTTGAATATCTTCGATTGAGATTTTCGATTTCCATATCATTGATTCATGAATATTTTCGATTGAGATTTCCGATTTCCATATCATTGATTATTAAAAGAATTAGTAAGTAAAAAGAGAAATTTGGAGGAATTCCCAATTTTCAGCTTAAATAATGAATGCTCTACTATGTTACTAGAAGAGATGCCTAGAAAGCGAAAAGATCATGGTCTTGCTCCATCAATGATAGAACCTTCGGTGACACTTTAGCTGATTTAGGAGCTAGCATTAACTTAATTCTGTCCTCCATTATGAGAGCATTGAGATTGACTGGACTTAAGCCCACTCAAATGTGTCTTCAATTAGTAGATAGCTCTATTCCCTACCCTAGGGGGGTGATTGAAGATGTACTTGTGAGCGTAAATAAGTTCACCTTTCCCGCTGATTTCATAGTATTGGATATGGAAGAAGACGAGGAGAAGCCGCTCTTACTAGGGCAACCATTTCTTGCTACCGCAAAGGCACTAATTAATGTCCATGATGGAGAATTGACCTTGAGAGTAGGCAATGAAGATGTCACTTTCAAAATGATGAGAGTCATGAACCAAACTCTAGACCCAGCTGAGTTTTGCAACTCAGTTAAAATCATTAAAGATAAAGGGTCTGTTGAGGATCTCTTAAGCTTAGAAGCCGCCTTCCAAGAACCTAAGTGTGAGGAGGTGTGCGAGGTAAGTACGCAATCTACACCCGCTAAGGAGCCAAATTCCTTAGAACTTAAACCATTACCGTCACATATTGAGTATGTTTTTCTTAATCAAGAGGTTCAATGTCTTGTTGTCATAGCCTCCGATTTAACACCTGACCAAAAAGAAAAATTGTTGGCTGTCCTCCGTTAGCACAAGGAAGAGATTTCTTGGAAGCTAGAGGATATTCAAGGTATAAGCCCTGCTTATTGCACACATAAAATAGCCATTGAAGATGGGTTTAAACCAATTGTCCAAGTGCAACGAAGGTTGAACCCAAAGTTAATGGAAGTGGTGCAAAAAGAAGTGCTTAGACTCTTGAACACTAGAATTATTTATCCTATTTCAGATAGTCAATGGGTGTCACCAATCCACGTTGTTCCAAAAAAGGGAGGAATGACAGTGACCAAAAATGACAAGGGAGCATTAGTTCCTGGTACAATTGTGATCGGTTGGTGAATGGTCATAGATTACAGGAAATTGAACGATGCCACAAGAAAAGATCACATTCCCATTCCTTTCATTGACCAACTTATCGAAAAACTAGCTGGACATGCTTATTATTGCTTCCTAGATGGAATACGTGGTTACTTCCAGATCCATGTCAACCTCGAAGACCAAGAGGAAACCATGTTCGCTTGTCCCTTTGGAACCTTTGCTTTCCGTCAAATGTTCTTTGGACTCTGTAATGCCCCTGCCACCTTTATGAGGTGTATGATAGCTATTTTTGAAAAAAATTATAGTGGATTTCATGGAAGTCTTTATATATGGATGATTTCTTTATTACAGGGAAGTCGTTGACAAGTGCTTAGGTAATCTCGAGAAAGTTCTCATAAGATGCGAGGAAACCTGTTAAGTCACAAAATGTCATATTTTATTCTCTCCTTTCTTAGTACTTTTAAGATATTTAATATGCATTTTATACCTAAATAATCATATTTTGTTCTATTTAGCATTTTAGGCTATTGTTTACATTTTATACATAAAATGCATAATTTTGAGCATATTTATATTCTACAAATATTTTGGAAGTATTATTTATTACCTTGATACAAATTTTTAGATATGGAGTACAAAAGGATGAACAAATGTCAAAGTTGGATGCATATTTACAAAGAATTATTGGGCCAAGTCAATTTGACTCACATGATCAAGTCACAATTGAAGCAAAGGAAAACAAAAATTAAAAGAAAAAAAAAAGACAAGTCGTGTTCCTTCCACGCACACAAAACAGAAGTAAACGGAGAGCAACAGAAGAAGTGCGAAGAGGCCAGGTGGATTGCACAGAGTCTTCTTCTCCAATTCAATATCTTCAAAATTCAATTATAAAAAGAGGAGACAGAGATGAGATTGAAGGGGGGAGGATATACGGGAACAGAACAGAGAGAGCCGACCTAGGGTTTCGACCCTAGGTCCGGCGCGGCGTCCGGCGACGACAACTCTGAGGATGTTACAGCTGGTGTTATAGATGGAGACAGCTGTCAATGACGTGGCACTCTTAGTTGTTACGTTTGTTATCCAAGTTTGTTACGTTCGTTATAAACGGTTAGGGCGGTGGGTTGTATATAAATACAAGGTGGAAGTACGTATGGAATATAATAATACAATCTCATTTTTCCTCTCTCAAAATATCTTCTTCTTCCCCAAATATCTCTTTCTTCCTAGTAATCTCCATTGGAGAAGCTTACAGCTTTCCAAGCTGTAACAGTGGTATCAAAGCTCGTTCCTGTTGGATTCACGATCGCTGACCTAGGTTGTAGCCATGGAGACTCAATTGAAAAACATGGAGAACAGATTCGCAGGCATTGATGAACGGATCAATGCACAAGATCTGAAGCTTGATCAAATCATGATGATCTTGAAGAAGATGGAAACACATTCAGGAAAGGAGAAGGAAGGAAATATGACATCAGTTGGGGACAGAATCCAATCAAAGGGCAGATCACTCAATTTCAACCCTAAACTGGAGTTTCCAAGGTTCGATGGAAGCAATACGAGGAATTGGATCAAAAAGGCAGGTAAATATTTCAATCTCTGTAAAATACCAGAGGATCAGTGGGTGGATATAGCCAGTTTGTATATGATTGACAAGGCTGAAAATTGGATGTCAAGCTATCTGTCATTTAGAAAGTTTGTGTCATGGCATGAGTTCATCATAGACTTGAGTGCAAGGTTCAGAGATGATAAGGGGCATAATGTAGTGGAGCAATTCAAAAAACTCGAACAGAAAGGATCATTAGAAGATTACATCGATGAATTTGAGGACTTAAGATCTGTGTTGGTACAAAACAACCAATATCTACCTGACTCTTACATTTTAGACTGTTTTATTGGAGGATTGAAGGCAAGCATTAGCCTATATGTTAAAGCCTTTAAGCCTAACTGTTTAGCTAACACCATTGAATATGCTAGGCTCAAGGAAGAGTCATTGGAGGTGGAGCATGCTCGATATACCAAGTTCCAGAAACCTCCTGCCTATAATTCTTCCAAGCCTCCCCTTCTGCCAACTCCGCAAACCAAGGCTGCCAATTTCCCACCCAACAAGGGCTTCAAATATATACATGCAGATGTAAGGGCAGAAAAGATAGCCAAGGGGCTGTGCTATTACTGTGGTAAGCCCTTTGAGAAGGGCCATAAGTGCAGTTTCAGGGAACAACAGTTGTTTACGGTGGAGATACCTACAGAAGTAAATCCCACAGAACCCCAGGAGGAATAAGTGGACCAACTTGATTCCATCATAGCTACTGAAGGAAATGATGCTTGTATATCTGTACAAGCACTGACTGGGGGCACGGCTATTAGACTATGAGGGTCAGGGGCTTGGTCGATAAAGAAGCTATTCACATATTGGTGGATTCAGGTAGCACTCATAATTTCCTTAGTCTGGATACAGCGAGAAGATTGGGGTGCAAAGTTGAGGAGGTCCCTGGTCAAACAGTGATAGTGGCAGATGGGAATAGGATAGCTTGTCAACATGCTTGTAAGCATTTCACTTGGAAGATGCAAGAGGAGGAATTTGTCACAAACGTGTTACTGATTCCTTTGGGAAGCTATGATATGGTATTGGGGGTGCAGTGGTTGGAAACATTGGGGCCAGTCTATTGGGACTTTAAGGAGTTGACAATGAGGTTCCAATGGGAGGGGAAACCCTTTACATTGAAAGGCATCATAAACAAAAAGATGAGGGTAATGGAAAGGGAACCTGCGGCTAAGACATTCACCAACTCCATCCAATTTTGTCTCCTCCAAATAAACACTGGGAAAGAGGAAGGTTACCCCGGGGTGTTACAATGCAGTTCCAGTGGCCAAGGTGATAATGTGAACTTGAAAATTGAGACCCTTAAAAAGGAGTTCAGCAGCCTCTTTGAAGATCCGAATGAACTTCCTCCACACAGAGGGGTTTTTGATCATAGAATACCTTTAGAACCGGGGGCGAGACCAGTCAACATCAGGCCTTATAGGTATCCATTGAAGCAGAGGGATACTATTGAGCAGTTAGTACAAGAAATGTTGGACAAGGGAATTATACAACATAGTGCAAGCCCATTTGCTTCACCCGTGGTATTAGTTGGCAAGAAGGATGGCACTTGGCGGCTATGTGTTGACTACAGAGAGCTCAACAGCAGGACCATAAAGAATAAGTTCCCAATTCCTATCGTGGATGAACTTATAGATGAGTTGGCAGGTGCAGTGGTGTTCTCTAAACTGGATCTAAGGTCGGGCTATCATCAGCTGAGGATCCACCCAGAAGATGTCTTCAAAACAGCATTTAAAACTCACACAGGACATTTTGAGTTTTTGGTAATGCCCTTTCGGCTTACCAACGCCCTTGCTTCTTTCCAAGGATGGATGAATGAGGTTTTTAAACCCTGACTCAGAAAACCTGTTCTGATTTTCTTTGATGATATATTGGTATATAGTAAGAGTGAGGAGGAACACTAGGTGCATTTACGACAAGTTTTTCAGCTCATGAAGGATAATGTGATGTATGCAGATGAGTAAATGTACCTTTGTAAGTAATAAGGTGGAATACTTGGGCCACTTTATTTCCGCCAAGGGAGTGGAAACAGATCCTACAAAAATTGATGCTATCACTTCTTGGCCGGTTCCTACATCAGTCAAGGAGCTCAGGAGTTTTTTGGGATTAGCTGGCTATTATAGGAGGTTTATAAAGGGTTATGCAATGATTAGTAGACCCTTGACTGATCTCTTAAACAAGGGTGCCTTCATATGGTCACATTCTACACAGATAGCTTTTGATTCTCTCAAATTGGCTCTATCTACCGCCCCAGTGCTAGCAGTACCTAACTTTACCCTAACATTTGAAATCGAAACAAATGCCTCCAAGCAGGGAATTGGGGCTGTTCTTATGTAGAAACAACATCCCCTGGCATTCATCAGCAAGACGTTGGGCCCCAAGTGGCAAAAATTATCAGTATATGAAAAAGAGCTGTTGGCTATTGTTTTTGCTGTACAAAAGTGGGAGCAATATCTGTTAGGCAATCATTTCATCATAAGAACTGACCAAAAGAGCTTAAAGTGGCTTCTTCAACAAAAGGTGTCCACCCCTTTCCTGTAGGACCTCAGGCGCTACCAACTCTTCTAAAACCAATTGGTGTTAGAAGAGGCGCATACCCTAGCCTTATAGTGCATTCAACACACAAGCGCCCACGACATTCGATTGTAACTTGGCCCACATAGCCTCCGCCACGGGACAATTTGCTGCACACATGGCCAACAATCTCCCCCTCAGCAATTGCTCCCGCTGGGAATCGAACTCGTGACCTTGGCTCTAATACCACTTGTAGGACCTCAGGCGCTACCAACTCTTCTAAAACCAATTGGTGTTAGAAGAGGCGCATACCCTAGCCTTATAGTGCATTCAACACACAAGCGCCCACGACATTCGATTGTAACTTGGCCCACATAGCCTCCGCCACGGGACAATTTGCTGCACACATGGCCAACAGTTGGTATCAGAGCCTAACTCGCGTCCAAACTTAACCGTTTGAGAGTAAAGCGATCATGGGCTCTTCTTCTAGAAATCTCTATGCAGGAATTGGAGAAGGACAATCAACCTCTAGGCCACCACTCTTTGATGGCACCAACTACTCCTATTGGAAGGAACGGATGAGAATCTATATTCGTTCCACCAACTTCCAATTGTGGTTGGTGATCAAAAATGGCGAAGAAATTCCTATGAAGAAAGTGGGAGAAACCACGGTCCCAAAGACCGAAGACGAATTTGATGCCGAGGACATCAAGAAGGTCGAAAACTATGCAAAGGCCATCAATATGTTATATTGCGCGGTCAACCCCGATGACTACCGAAAGATCTCCTGTTGCACAACCGCCAAGGAGATGTGGGACAAGCTTGAAGTGACGTACGAAGGTACCGATCAAGTTCGCGAAGCCAAGATCGACTTTCTCACCCAAGAGTACGAAA